CTATTAGAGATGCTGCTCACAGAGGAATTGGAATACACGGAAAAGTGGCTGCAGTGGAGCCCCTGTCCATTTCCACAGTCTGTTGAGCCCCAATCCCACGGTCCAGAGATGCCAACCCTATGGCATGTGCCACTACGTTCTCCTTCCTTTGCTCACAGCAGACATCACTATCCATTGTGGCATTCTTTTCTCCAAGCCTGAATGAGATCTTAGACTCCTCCTCAACAGAGCCCTACAGTCACTACCAATTAATTGATCAGAGTTGGCAGAAGAGAGGAAATAGATCTGCTACCACTTTGAGGTTGGGGCAGTGGCTTGCTCTTCTGTGCATCCCCACAACTATTTGCTTTTCAATAAAATAAAATAAAATATAAGTTGGGTCACGTCACTCCTCTGCTACCCCTCTCACTCAGAGTACAACCAAAAACCATTCAATGGCTACTAAGACCTGTGTGATCCAGCTTCTGGGACCTCTTCTGAGCTATCCTGACACTCTCTCCCTCACTCACTCCTCTTCAGCCACACTAACCTCCTGCTATTCCTCAAGCATGACAAACACACTGTGCTTTGGGACCTTTGCACTTGCTGTTCCCTCTGCCTGGAACATTCTTCCTCCAGCTTAGTGGTTCTCCAAGTGTGACTCCTGAACCAGCAGCTTCAGCACCACCTGGGTATTTGTTAGAATGCAAACATTTCTAACAGCCCAGACCTACTGAATCAGAAACCTTGGGGGGTAGGGGGACAGCAATCTGTATTTTAACAAGCCCTCCAGGTAATATGGATGTACAATAAAGTTTGAAAACCACTGTTTCACGTAGATCCTCAGTTCCCTTCCTTCATATTTTTGTTCAAATATCCTCTTCTAGAAGGAGAAGCCCTCCCTGACCCCTCTATCTAAAATAGTACTGTTCCCAAATCACTCCCAGTTCCCTATTCTTCACAGCACTCACACCACTGGGCGTATTATATATTTGCTTGTTTATTTCTCTTCTGTCTCTCTTCCTGCTGCAGTATGCAGGCCTCCTAAGAATCCCATGCCTGGAAGAGTGTCTGGCACATAGTAGGCGCTAAATAAGTATCTGTTGCATGAATCAACCTCCTCAGTACTCAGAAAGGAGCTTGGGGCCCAGGGAGTGGAAGGGACATGCCCAAGGTCATGCAGGGAGCCAGGCCTCCTGACTGTCAACCCACGACCTACTTCGCTGCATTAGGCTCAGCATGGCTGGCGTGCCCCTCCTCAGAAGCGTGGCTCATCGGAGGCCCCTGGCACACTTCTCTTCCCTTTTAAGCTGTGAGTGGTTTAATTTGCGAGTGCAGCTGCCTTTCATGTCCCAAGCTGCGTCCCTGCTCCCTCTGATCTCTGAGGCTGCCCAGACCCCAGTGCCGCTTGTTGGCCCCACCCTCCTTAGCCCAGATCAGGAGGCTCGGTAATTGTGACTGATTTTCAAAGCTGCCCGGAGTCTCTGCGAGCTCGCGGTGTCAGATTTGCTTCTCCTTCAAAAAGTTGCTCAAATGAAATAAACTAATTTAATTTCTGTTTCTTCCCTCCCCCTACTGGATTCCCCAGCTTGTCCAAATTGAGTCACCCTGCCTCCTGACTTTTTCCTGAGTCGGATGTGAGAGTCAGCGGGCTGGGAGAGGGAGATGAGGCAGGGCAGGGTCTCCTTAGGCTGGCACTCATAAACCTGGGGCTGGCTCTGCCTCTGACTCTTTGTGTGACCGTGGATGAGTCCTTACCCTTCCCTTGGCCTCAGTTTCCCCACCTGTGAGATAAAGACCATCACCACTCCAATAGTCTGGGAGCCAAGCCCAGCAACTTGCTTGGTTGCTGGCTTGCTATGTGACTGTACATCTTCTCTTCTCTCTGAGCCTCGGTGTTCCCATCTGTTCAATGGGGGTGATAACATTGATCCTGCATCCTCTCAGAGTCACAGTGAGAGTGAAGGGGGATGGATGAGCCACCATGGTGGACATGAGGCTGCTACTCCCCGCAGGACCCCTCCCCCCATCCCCAGCCATTCTCCATGTGCAGCAGAGGGACTTTCTAAAATGCAGGTCTGCCCATCACTTTTTGCTTAGGACTTTCTCAGGCTACTTGCTTCCCTCGAGTCCTTCAGATATGGCTCCTGCTTCCTTCCCTAGTGTCAGCTCTCACTACCTTTCTGGTCATTTTCATGCAGAAACATGCAGGTCAGTTTTGTGCAAAAGGAGACAGGGACAAGTCTTCTTAGGACAGAGTTCAAGTCAGGTGGCGGGGTCTCATGACCTGGGAAGTCAGGGCCTTGTGCTGCCTCTGACTTGCTGTGTGACCTTGGACAGGCCACTGCCCCTCTGAGCCCCATTTTCCCCATTTGCAAAGTTAATTCCTAAGTTCTTGCTGGGCTCTGAAATTCCATAGGTCTTTGTCACTGACAACTTCCAGACCTCTCTGCTGAGCCTGTATATTCAACTGCCTTTTTCAAGATCTCTGCTCGGCTGTCTAATAAAGTACTTCTGACTTAGCGTATTTGAAACCAACTCCTGATTTCCCTTTATCCCTCTCACCTGCTCTTCACATCTCAGTAAATGGAAATTCCACCTATTTAATTGTTCAGGTCAAAATCCCAACAGTCATCCTTGAGTTTTCTTTCTCTCACATCTGATCAATTAGCAAATGCTTTCAGCTCTGCTTTCAAGATATATCCAAAAGTCAACCTCTTTTCAACACCTCTACTGATACCTTCTTGTCCCACCATCATCATCTCCTGTCTAGGTAACTTCAATATCCTCCACCAGGGGCAATCCGCTGCTGCCCTTGTCCTCTCCCCACCAGTCCCCCATCTATTCGTCATGGAACAGCCACAGGATCCTGTTAAAACTAGGTCAGATCATGTCAGTTTTCTGAACAAGACCCTCCACTGACTTCGCAGCTTGCTCAGCACAAAAGGCAAAGCCCTGCCTACAGGCTACATGATCTGGTGGCCTTGCCACTTCTCCTCAGGGGAATTCAGCCCCAGGGCCCTTGTGTGTGCCGTTCCCTCTGCCTGGAATGCTCTCCCCCCAGTGGCCTGTCCTCACTTCATTCAGGTCTTTGCTTCAATGTTGTCTCCTCAGAGACGCCTTACTGAACCAATGATCTATTTGTTTATTTGCTTATTATCTGTCTTCCTTAGGCAGAATGTACCCTCCACGAGAGCAGGGAGTCTGTCTGCCTTTTCACTGCTGCATCCCCAGCACCTAGCACATAGTGGGTACTCAACAAGTATTTGTTAAATGAATGAATGAACACACTCAAATAGACACATAGTATGTCACATGCATGCACAGGCCTTAAAGTGCCATGCGTGTGTACATCTGCACACATGTGTGGAATGCATATGTACATCAGGCACACCTGTGTACACATGTGTGTATACACCAGCATGTATCCACACTCATACCCTCACTGGCCTCATTCTCACACCATCTTTCTGTGTCCAGTATTGTCCCTAGCCCATTTCCTCCTCTTATAGTACTGGCTGCTTGTTCATTACCCACAAATCTGCCAGATTTGGCCCAATCTGGGGGAGCTGGGGCTGATTGTGCCCTTCCCCAAGAACCCAGGTACCCCTGGCCTCTGACACTTGGCCATAGAGCTGAGAGGTCCAGACAGAGGCAGTGCCAAGCCCTTGGCTGCAGTGAGTCAGCAATGGAGCATGGCTAGGACTTAGTGCAGCTGCTCCTGTCTAGCCTGACTTGCAGATCACTTAGGCTAACATGGTGGGGAAGGAGATGGAAGCTTCTGGCTTGTGCCCTTCACCCCATGACTTCAGCTTCTACCAGAGCCTCAGGAGCCCCAGGCTAAGCGGGTCTTGATGGTTAGACAACTGTCTGGGGTTCCACAGAGGGAGAAGGTGGAGTCAACTAGCCCACAGTCTCAGTGCCCTCCTGCTGTAAGAGTCGGAATTTCTGAGTGTGGCTGCATCTGATGTCTTCATGTAGATGTGTGTTTTGTGTGTGCACTTCTTTTTCTACGTGTACAACCATGTGTGTGCAGCACTCCTGGGTGTTTGCAGCTGCACCTGTGTAAGTGCAGCTGAATGTGTCTGGGGCTCATCTATCTCAGTGTGAGCCTGTGTCCCCAGGTGGCTGGGTGTTGTTGAGTTGTGGCTTCCTTGTGGGCAGTGAGTGAAGCTATCTGGATGTTGTTCATCTGGTTGTGCCCATACCTGTCTGCAGCTGCACTCCAGGGGACCTAGGCCCCAGGATGGTAACATCTGCTTGTGGCTTTCGCCTGTGTCTGTCTACATGGCCGAGTCTGTGCAGCAGCTCTATCTGTGAAGGGCTGTTCCCTAAGTGGAGTTGTAAGTGGCTGTGTCAGGGTGTGAGGCTGTGTCTGGGTGTGTGTTGGGCCTTGTTTCAGCTGTGTCCCTCTATGGTTGTTCCTGGTTGTAGGTGTGCTTGTATTTAGTTGTTCCTGGAGATGAGACTGACTCCATGTGGGGGTTGTGGCCTAGGGCTGTGCTATGTCTGTGTGTAGTTGAACATTTGGGAGGGGCTGTGTCAAGGTGTGCAGCTGTTGGTTGCCTGTGTGTGGGGCGACATCTATGAGTGGGGTGTGTACAGGTGTGCAGCTGAGCTTGCATGTGGGGCTGGGCTTGCATGTGCGATTGTGTCCAGATATGTGGCTATGTCTGTGTGTGTGACTGTGTTCTGGGTGTATGACCATGTCCGAGTGGGCCACTGTGTTTCCATGGGCAGGTCCATATACACATAGAGGCTGTGTCCATGGATGGGGCTGAGGTCATGTGTGCACCTTTGTCCAGGTGTGCAGTGGGACTGTGTCCAGGATTATGCCTGATGCTGGTAGGACCTGGGCTCCTGTATGTACCCCGTGCCCTGGGGCAGTAGTTCCTGTCTCTCCTGCCCCTCCCTAAAGGATCAACTACTCCCCTTCCCAGTAGGCTCCACTCAGGACCTGGCAGCTCCCCTCGCCTTGGGAGTACCTCACCCTGCCCGGCCCTGCAGAGCCCGCAGCCCACCTGTGGGCGAGAGCTCAGCCACGCTGCCAATGTAGGGGCCGTGCAAGAAGCGGGGCTCACTGTCGTTGATGTCCTGCACCTTGATGATGAACTCTGACTCAGGCTCCAGCAGGCGGTTGGTGGCACGATCCCGAGCCTGGGCCCGCAACGTGTAGAAGGTTTTCTGCTCACGGTCTAGGCGCTCCATGGCATGGATGTCGCCTGTCAGCTCGTCGATCAGGAAGATGGTCCCTGCACCCTCGCCCGAGATGGTGTACTTGATGGCCCCGTCACCCTCATCTGAGTCCGAGTGGATCTGGGGAGGTAGGGAGGAAGGTGGGGTTGAGGCTGGGGATGAAGCTCCTCTTGGCTTCCACCATCAAGTCCCATGGGGCCCATTCCTGAGCACATCTCTTCTTCAATGCACCCACGTCCTCAGTGAAAACACTGAGGCCTGGAAGCCATGTCCACCCCAGTCCAGGCCTCACTGTCACTGGCCTGGAGTTCACCAGCCCTCCGTGTCTCTCTCTGCCCCAGCCCTGCCCCTGTAATCTACCTTCCCCTCTGCAGCCAGAGCTGTCAGCCTCAGAAGCAGGTCTGAACATGTCCTCCCTTGCTTGCAGCTCTTCCATGACTCCTCATTGCCTTTACAAAGAACCCCTTCCACCCCTCTGCCTTTCAGCACACAGAGCCCCCAGACTCCTGCTTTGAGCCCATTCTTATTTCTCTGCCTACCTTAAATTTACTTATCCTGCAAGGCTCAGCTCATATGACACTTCTTCCAGAAAGCTTTTCTGGCTTTCCCAATTCCCCTCCAAGATCTCTCAGTACTTCCAGCCATAATTTTTAGGTTCAGCTTTGTAGGATGCTGTAACCAGCACTTCTCAAACCTTAATATGCCAGCAAACCACCTGGGGATCTTGTTAAAATGTAGATTCCAACTCAGTAGGTCTGCAGTGGGGCCTCAGAGTTTGCATTTCTAACAAGCTCCCTTGGCCTCACTCTGAATTATAGGTCCCTCTCTCCCTAGACTCTGAGCCCCCAGGAGGTTAGGGATGGCGTCCTACTCATCTCAGCATACGGAGGACCAGGCTCAAGACTTGGCACGTGGTGGGGCAGACAGTGAGGAGGGAGAGGAGGAAAGGGAATGCAGGGTGAAGGAACCCCAACTTCGTGCATGCACTATGCTAAGCAATCCATGTACTTATCAGTTCGAAACCTTTAAAAACAACAACAAAAAAACCCACATGGCACGTGGTGGGGCAGACAGTGAGGAGGGAGAGGAGGAAAGGGAATGCAGGGTGAAGGAATCCCAACTTCGTGCATGCACTATGCTAAGCAATCCATGTACTTATCAGTTCAAAACCTTTAAAAACAACAACAACAAAAACCACGGGAATGCAGGGTGAAGGAACCCCAACTTCGTGCATGCACTATGCTAAGCAATCCATGTACTTATCAGTTCGAAACCTTTAAAAACAACAACAAAAAAACCCACACTACTAGAGTAGGTTTTGCTATCCTCATTGTGCAGATTTTTTATTTTTCATTTTTGTACTGAGGATCGGAGAAGTGGGATGATTTCCTCAAGGTCAGATCGCTGGAGGAGCTGCCTGGCTCCACAGCTGGGGCTTTCCTACTCCATCCTAAGCCCTCCAGAGGGGCCTACAGGAAGATGCATCACAGCCTGGTCTAGCCATGGCTCAGGCACCACACCCCTGTATGTCCTTGCACGAGTCACTGTGCCTCTCTGGACCTCTGTTGCTTCATCTGTAGAATGGGAGTCATAATAACACCTTTCTCCTAGAGGTGTTGAGGGGTTCACTAAATTGAAAATGCACATGAGACCCTTAGCACCTGCTGGGCACCATGCGGCATTTTCAATATCTAACAGGGGCAGTGCCCACAGACAGTACAGCAGCAGGGCCCCTGCTGGGCCGGGCGGCAACCCTTTGGTTGCTGGAATGTGGAGAGGTCTGAGGGGCTGAGAGATTTGGGGCGAGGGAGAGGAGAGGGACTATTTACTGCAGGTATGGAGGGTTTTCACTATTTTAACAACCAGTACAATGATACCAGTTTGTACAAGCTGAAAATCAGCCCTGCCTGAGACATAATAAGTGTCCAATAAATGGTAGTTATCGTTATTATTATATTATTGCTAAATGTTAGCTATATATAACTGGAATTTTATCCAGGCACTGTTAGGCTCCAGATTCCAGGCTGTTTTCACTACACTGAGATCTCTTGGGTGAGAAACCAGCAAGAAGTCTGTTTTCTTGCAGAAAGAAACACCTAAGTTCTTGTCCTTCAATGCTCAAATCTCCAAGGCATCCCCGAGCAGAAGAAAACCCATTCTGATGAAGTCATTGCTTTTGAGTGGGTCCCTTCTCTCTAAGCTTTCATGAAGATGGGGTGTGAATGAGAGAATCCCTAAAGCCCCTTTCGGGCCAGGGTGCCATCGACCCCAGCCCACTCAGCAGGAGAACAGGTGTCAATAAAGTTGTCATAATGGGGAACAAAATCCCACCCCCTGCCACACAGGAGGAGGTGGGGTATAAATCTGCTGGTGGAACTTTGTGTCTGAAAGGTGGATTATAGAAGTGCCATTTGGAAGATTGAATGGCCCATAAACATTTTCATATTTCATTAGCCGATTAATGGGCATCTCTCTCTTTTTGGCGAGTCTGCTGATTCTCAGCAGAAATTGCGGGGAGTAAATGCAGGCGTCTGGTGGAACCTTTCCGGGTCCCCGTCCTGTTATAGATTGCCCCAATTAATGCCTGTCCTGGGCTCCACCGAGAAGCCTTCTTCCTGTCCAGTTACTGTTAATAGATTTCTCATAAGTGGCTGGATTGTAAAAACCTCATAACTCAGTTTAATGCCCCCAATAAAATTATCTCAGGACGTCGGCCCTGAATCATTGGCAGTGCTGGGGACGAGGAGTCCTGTCTCTCCTGTTTGCTGTTTATGCTTTTCTTCCACCTTTGCCCAGGGGGGATGGGATGGGAGAGGGTGGGATTTTTCCCTCTCCAGGTGCTTCCACCCACTTCCTAATCAGACCTGTTGTCTGCTTATTTAATCAGCAAACATTTCTGAGCAGCGGTAGAATAGACGCCACTTGGGAGGGATGCTTAACAGCTATAATCTGATTCGTCTTTGTCATTGCCCTAGGAAACATTATTATTTCCATTTCTCAGGTGAGGAAACTGAGGCACAGAGAGAAGTCATTTGCTCTGCCACCAGTGTGGGAAGCCAAGCTCCTGACTCCACCAGTCACTAACATTGTGACCATGGGCTTGTTAAGTTTACCTCTCTGAATCCCTCTTTTCCCATCTGAGAAATCAGATCAAGCCCTACCCAGCACAGGTATGGTGAGGATTAAATAAGAGCATGTTTGTAATAACCTAAGCACTTTGTAGATGGGTGTTTCCCTCCCTTTCTGTCTCCTGGGTCTCCATCATGTCCCTGCAGTCCTTGACATTTTAACTCAGACCCTGGACAAGTATCATTTATGAGTGACGAGTGGGGAGGAGGGAGTGGAGCCTGGCGGTGATGTCATCCTGTGTTCTTCTGTGAAGTATGACACGGAGCTCAGGGCTCACGTGGGGGCCCAGTGGCCACTCTCTGGGGACTGCAGAGTCAGACAGGGCTAATCAGCCTGGGTGGGAGCTAAGAGCTGGTTGGAAGCTGCAGATTCAGGCTGGGCAGGGGCTGCCTGCCCTGCCTGCCTGGGTTCTGGCACCTTTGCTGAGAGGCAGCATATCTGGCTCTGTCCTAAGAAGATATTTCTTGACTCTCAGCTGTGAGTGGAGGCTGAAGGCTGGTGCTGTCATTTATCAAGCATCTACTATGTGTTAAACAAGTGTTGCAGGCCATCTGAAAAAATTTAATTTGACTTTGTGGAGTATGTAAATATATCACTGTTTTCCAGGTGAAGATACAGGTCTGTTTGATTTCAAAGCGCAGGTTGGTCCCTCTGGTAATCTGGTTAGTCTGCTTACAAGGCTTCTAGCAGAGGATGAGGGACAAAGGGGAGGGAGTGGGCTGCAGAGCAGTCACTGGGCTGTGTGGCGGGGGAGTGGCCTTGACACCAGTCTTTTGCCTGGCACCCAGCAGGCCACAGTCATTGGTGGTCTCTTCTCTCTGAGCTTCTATCTCATCATTTGGAAAAGGACCTCAAATCACAAACCAGGAAAGACAATGGGCTTTGGAGTTCCCTCCCCCTTTCCCACCCTGGTTTCAGGAGGGATTGAGGGATCACCTAATCCAACCCCCCATCTCCTGACACAAGAACCATAGACTCAAATCCTGACCCATTGGAGATTCAGGGGCTGTTATCTAATACCTTCTTGTCTTTCAAAGTCAGCTTGTTTCCCCTTCCAGACAGCCCTCTCAGATGCATTCCCAATTGGTTGAAGAGACCTCACCCCACTCTGTCCCCCTGCCCCACGCACACGCCCTGCCCCTCTACTCCACACTCCCCTGTAACATCTCAGTGTCACACATCTGTGTCTGTGTCTTTAGTTGTCATGGGCCTCAGGGCATGGGCAAAATTTGATTTGTCTCTGTGTGGACTCCCTCCCTGTGCCTGGCACACACTTGGTACCCTGACAATGCCTGCAGAGAAAATACAGGGGGAGTGGGGAGTCAAGTGTCTGTGTGTCGTGTGTGTGTGCGTGTGCACATGAGCATGTGAGACTGCACAATCCCTGAGGGCCAAGAATATGGCTGTTTGTTTCTATCTCCCCAGCACCCAGCACAGGGCACAGCAAAAGACATATTGAATGAATGAATAATGAAATATACAACTGTCATTAGAACTCCCCCACTGTCTTCTAGGATTTCTGAAGGATGCAGTCCCTCTGTTAAATCCTAGGTACACATGAGCTAGACTAGGGAGGACAGTCATTGGGAACCTGTAACACTCCAGGCACAGTTCTAGACCCGATTAATCTTATCTCACTTATGTCTCACAATGATCTTGTGAATTAGAGATTATTCTCTCCCTGTTGTACAGATCAGCAAACTGAGGCCCAGAGAGGGCCCAAATCCTACCTAAAGTCACACAGCTAACAAGAGGCAGCCCTGAGGCCTGTCTGACACTACATCCAGGGTTCTTCCCAATTCATCAAGTGTGGCCAGCCCCCGAGGAGAAATTCTTCCTCCCCCCGCCCTCAAGCCCCAGCCCTCGATCATAAACAACACAAAAAACATGAGAGTGATAGTTTCTCATCCCAGGGGGCTGAAAAGTGGGATTTACGAGGCCATTAATTACTTCCTCCTAATTAAATCAAAATTAAATGCGAGCAGAGGTACGTTTTCCTTATTAAAGACAATTAAACGGACAGTGCAGCTACGCAAATAAAACGAGTCCAGGATTTAAATGGAAAGCAAATCAAATAAAAAGCCTCCCCTGGAACGAGGGGTCTGTTCATGCCTGTGCTCCTCGTAAACCAGGAGTTCATCAATTTTCCTTAAATATTAGCAACTTAATTAAATCTGCTCTCCTCCCCACTTTAATCCTGCCGTATATCTAAAATAGATCTCACCGCCCACAGGAGTTGGTCATAAGTGCTGACCCTATAATTCTATCTTTTTTAAAAAAAATTAAAAATCCTACAGAATCCACATCCGGCTGACAGAAGCCTCGGGGGAAATTACAGTTCGGAAAAGGGATTAGTCGAAGTACCCAGATTTTATGGAAATGCTGGGAGGTTGCTTGGAGGGTGGGTGAGAAGGTGCAGGGAAGAGGTGGGCCACGGCTGCCCACAGGGCCAGAACTGCGGAGGGAGCTGTTTGTGTGGGGTCTTGGAGACAACCTTGGGCCTAGCGGTTCCTGTGGGTGCAGACAGGAGCTTGGTGGTGAGTGATGGAGGAGGCGGTTTTAAAATAGGTTACCGTTGGGCGCCGGGGTTCACTCTGTGGATGGTGCTGTTGCTAAGCTACCTTTGGAATTCGACAAGGACGGATGCTCCCAGTGTCTCTCTGGGGTGGAGGGGACCAAGCAGCAGTGAATTAACTGAAACCATGGAGAAGTCCTTTCTCCCTGAAGAGCAAGAGAGTGTGGTAGGAGTGAATGTACACATGCACGTGTGTGCACACACAAGAACGCGTCTATGCACGGGACTCAGCTGGAAAGAGGACAGGTGGTTTTTAAAAGCCCAAGCTCATATTCCTAGGGTGGGACGGTGGGCTAATGACAAACTCCCCCCACACAGGGGTGAGAAACTAGGATGTCAGGTTGCTGAGAAGGCTTTTGGGATCTGGGGCAGGAGTCTGTAACATCTGTGTAGACAGTATGTATACTCAAGGTGGTGGAAACACCAAGCGAGACCTAGAATAATAAAAGCTAATACCAAGCACGTGCCAGGGGCTATTCTAGGCTTGTGACATATGCTAACTCATTGATTCCTCACCACAACCCTTGGAGGTAGGGCCTAATAATAGCCTCACTCAACATATAGGGAGACTGAGGCTCATAGAGGTTAAATAATGTGCCCAAAGTCAGAGAGAGCATAAGCAGTAGAGCTGGGATTGGAGCACAGGCAGGCTAGCTGCAGTTGGCCCCGTAACCACTCCCAAAGCCTCCTCTCATAAGAAAGTGCATGGGGAAGGTATTTGCAGAGAGATGGAAACTTCTTCCTCCCTGCACGGAGTGCTTTTCTGGAGGTGGCCTTGGGAATGAGAGAGCAGGAGCTCCAGTTGAAGGTGATGGGGGGTGGGGGAAACAAGTCACGACAGTGACAGTGGTGGAGATGTTGAGAGAGGTTGCTGTGGGAAGGGAAAGGCCCCTGGGCCTGTTACAGTTCTCATTTCAGAGCAGATGCTTCATAGGGGACTCTTGAATTGAGGTGAGTTGATTCTGTCATCGTTCTGCTGGTGTGCAGCCTTGCAATGATCTTCCCCACCTCTGAGCCTTGGTTTCTCCTTCTTATAATGAAGAGACTTACTAGGACCCTCACTCTGCCAAGACTGTGACCCAAGGAGACAGGGGTGTGGCTCGGCTCAGGCTGTTGGGATGGTAAAGGTAGGTGGATGCAGATGAAAATGGAAAATCAGCAACTGGTTTTTCTCATCTTTTCAGGACATGGGTGGCTGGGGAGGCTTCTGCAGAGCCCCAGCTCCTGGGCAAATGACAGGGCTGAGATGCCTGAAACCTCCTCCTCTGACATTTAGGCAGATGTGTCAGAATCCTTCCCTGTTTCTCTGGGATTTTTCTGGACCAAAGGCCTTTTCCCAGATCTGGAGTTCTTGGAGAGGTCCGGAGAGAATCAGGCTGGGACTGGCCTCTTGTCGTTGGGGGCTTAAAAACTCCAACTCAGACAGGTTCAAATCCTGGCTAAGCCACTTGCCACTCTGACTTTGCCCTCTCTAACCTCGGTTTTCTTGGCTACAAAAGGGATCAGTCATTTCTACCTTGCAGTTTAAGGGTTAAATACTTTATATGAGAATAATAAACAAATAAGCCACAGGCTGAACACTTCATGTGCTCAGTTTTCTTCTTTAATTCTCAACAACCATAGGAAATGGGCTCTCTGAGCCATATGTTTACAGATGAAAAGGCTGAGGAAGTGACTTAACTTGATCAAGGTCACATGATGAATGGGTTGGCAGACCAGGCCTCAAACCTGACGTTCCTGCCCCCAAAGCCTGCATTCTTAGCTATTCCACCACTAGCTACTACCTAGCACATAGCCAGCATGGGTCCCTCCTTCCCCATCCCACCTCTCATTCCACCAGTCCCACCATCTCATGGTCCTGGCTGGGAGTCAGCTGTCCTAGGCTCTGCCACTGGGTTGCAGGGTCATCTTGAGCAAGAGCCTGAACCTATCTGAGCTCTGTTAAAGTTGTGGGGATTAATTTCAGCCACATGTATAAAGGGGAAAGTAACCAAAGACCAGGGATTACTATGTCTAGGCCAGAGAAAATCTGGGTTTCCTGCAAGGCAAACCCAAAGGTTTACTTCTAGACTTTCCTCCTTTCCTTGTTGAGGATCCTGACCCCTGAACCTCAGAACTCCTCAGGATCCCAATTCTCAGACTCGTTTAAGCACTTGGGAAGCTCTGGAGTTGATCTTCCCCAGCCCCCACTGCTGACCAAAACTTCCTGGAAAGTTGAGTGGCCTTAACAAAAGCCAGAGAACTGTCCTTGGGCACCACCCTGCTTTCATGCCCTACAATCACCCTCCACTTCAACACCAAAACTGCTGAATAAACCAGGCTCCTTCAGGTCTCCACATCTTCGCATAGGCTACACCCTCTTCCCCATCAGTCTGAGGAACTCCTACTCGTACATCAAAACCCATTTCAGGTGTTTTTTCTTCCATAAAGCCAGCCAACAGATACCACTTCATGAGTGCCTACTCGGTACCAGGGGCTGATCTGTGAAGCTTTTTATGCACCAGGGTGTCTCTGCCTCTCTAGGGAGCCTCAAGTGTCAGAAGCTAGACCTTACTCACCTTTGTCCTCCCCCCTCTCATCACAGCTGAGCCCCATGGGGGCCTCGGGGATTGAATGGATGAATAAAAGTCCTTCTCAGCTCTCAGGGTGTCTCTGCCTCTCTAGGGAGCCTCAAGTGTCAGAAGCTAGACCTTACTCACCTTTGCCCTCCCCCCTCTCATCACAGCTGAGCCCCATGGGGGCCTCGGGGATTGAATGGATGAATAAAAGTCCTTCTCAGCTCTTTACGCTCCAAGGGCACAGATCTGCCAGATTAACCAGCATTTACTCAGAGTTTGTGAAAGTAACTTTCATTCATTCATTCATTCATTTAATGAACAGTTTGCGAGCAACGACTGTGCTAGGCACTGGGGATTTAAAGGTGAGCAAAACAAACAGGGTCTAACAGGAAAGACACACATTAATTACGTAGTCAAACAAACACACACATAATTAAAGTGTATGAAGAAAATATACAGGGACCTCAGAGGGTATGTAACGGGGATCTGTCTTCGCCTGGTGTAGTCAGGGAGGACTTCTCTGAGGGAGAGGCATTTGAGCTGAGACCTGTAGTGTGAGTATAGGGTAATTAGAAGGAGCAAGAAAGATCGGTTCAGGGGAAGGAAACAACCTAGTAGAGGGACGGTGAGAAGAGAGTATGTGGGGCATTGAAGGGGTTTTCAGAAAGACAGTGGGGCTGAAACTCAGAGAGTGTGGCAGGAGATTGGGCTGGAGGAGGAGCCAGAGTTTTGTAGCCAATGAAATAGAGTTTGGGCTTGACCCCAAGTGCGGGAAGCTATTGAAGAATTTTAAGCAGAGTGGCCAGAGTATGCATATGACACAATCAGATTTGCAAACTTGTTTCTAAATTCCACATGCATCGGCCATCCATGGACTGGGTTTACGCACTAGCACTCTCTTCTAAGATGTGAAAGAGAGAAGGGCGTGGAGTAGGGGACTGGGGGTCATCTGCCTGTCCCTGGCCAGGAAACAGCTGCCAGGAGGCTCAAGGGACGGGGATGAGCGGGGCAGGGCAGCTATGTGGGGCTCCACTTTACCTTGCCCACGTACAGGGGCTCCGTGCCCGTGTACTCCTCCACCACGAAGAACTGGTTCCACACCCAGCCGCGCTTCACGCGGCCCGCGCCCGGAGTGCCGTCCTGCCGAGCCCCGGGCGCTGACGGCGCGGGCGTGCCCGCTGCCCACGGGTGCCCCAGCAGCAGCGGCGGCGGCG